AAACCCAGGGTTGTGAGTTCAATCCTTGAGGGGGCCATTTAGGGATCTGGGGCAAAAATTGGGGATTGGTCCTGCTTTGAGCAGGGGGTTGGACTAGATGACCTCCTGAGGTCCCTTCCACCCCTGATATTCTATGATTCTATTACACACTGTCTTGAAGCAGGGACAGTGGATCAGGACAAGGCACCTTTCTTAGCAAGGGTGGTATTGTGGTTGGATGGGGAGTCAGGATCTGCTTCTGTTCCTGGCTGTGTCACAAACTCTCTGTGTGATCTTGGGCAAGTCATTTAATCTCAGTGTCTGAGTTTCCTTAGCTGAAAAATGGGGATAATACGCATTCTGGCCTACCTCATTTGGGTGATCAGTGATTGTTGAAACAGTGTTTGATAATTCCAGATGGAAGGTGCTGTGGAAGTAGAAAGTATTAACTTTTTTATTTTTCATTTTAACTCAAACACGTGTCATTGTTAGTTTTATTAAATTCAGTACCACATCTACTTGAGAACCAACGGTCCACCTCCTGTCTATGCAGATATTGGTACACATCTCCTTGCTATAATAGCTAAGTAGCTCACATCACCCTGTGTGAAACAGAGAAGTATTATTAGACATTTTACAGATGGGTAACCAAGACACAGAGAGAGATCACGTCTTGCACAAAGTCACACAGGAAGTCTGGGGCAGAACTAGCAATTGAACCCCTGCTTTCTGAGTTCTAGTCCAGTGACTTAATCTCAAGACCATTCTTTGTCTCCTTTTAAAATAAATGGTCAGCAGTGACTCATCAGAATGTAGAGCGCACTGAACTGTAAGAGGGCCAGACACAAGCCCCTTTTTGTTGAATATGCATCGTACACCCCTAGGCACTTGTTGTGTTAATATTACTCCAGATTCCTGTAACACCTGAGTCATTACCAGGATTGAACTGCCTCCAAGTAATCACGCTTGGCTGTTCCTGTCCAGCCGTTTTCCTTGCATAGAAACAAGATCAGAATCAGCGAAGGGAGAAAAATTGCAGCTGCTCCAACTCCGTGTTGTACAGACGTTTGGTAAAGTACATCCAGTCAGATTAGATAAAAGGAGTACTTTGTGGCACCTTAGAGACTAACAGGTGCCACAAGTCCTCCTTTTCTTTTTGCGGATACAGACTAACACGGCTGCTACTCTGAAACCTCAGATTAGATAGTGACAGCTGCGAGGCAGAGACAGTCTACTCTCAGTCACACAGATTGCCACAGTGATGAGAAATGTCTCCTTCCATATCCATCTGGCCAGGAAACTACTTCCCCGTCCTCTAAGACAAGGACCTACCTACACTGCCATCACCTCCAGCTTCAGATACTGCTACTCTTGCTACTTGAGGCTGAATGTAACTGCCTCAGAAAGTGGGAAATTTGTGCCACACCCACCGGCAGCTCATCCCATAAGTGACAAAGACCAGTGCAAACATTGCAGGAGGGCTTCATAAACGCTTCATAAACACCTAGGGCTCCCTGCTCACTTCAGAACAGCGTGCAAAGTCCTGGTCTCAATATAATGGGCTGAGTGTCAGCTACTGAAGAGTCTGCTCACGCTCCAAGACAGGGATGACGCAGCTAGAGAGACCCAGGTTTAGACCATTAGGTGCTGTGGGGCAGAACATTCTTGGGGGCAGCTATGAAGGGCAGAACATTCTTGGGGGCAGCTATGGCTATGAAGCTTCTTGCTTGAAGAGACAAGGGTTTGTCTATCCCAGGGCTTGTTGCACCAGTAAAGTTATGCCAGTGTCGATGCACCATTGCAAACCCTTGGCACCAGGATACCAAGTGTCTTGTGCCAGTGCACATTACCTTGCACTTGCAACACAGGTAACCCATGCAAGAGAGTAAAGGATGCCATATGCCTCCTTTGGTCCCTGCATGAGGCGTACTTGAAGTCACAGTCATGTCCTGAATTCGTAAGAGGTAACCGCCCATGGAATGTCTATCTTGTGTGTCTGCATTTCTGCTCTGTTTTGCAGTGCGTCATTCAATAGGCTGAAAATATCTCCTGTGTGTTGAAAGTAAATTATAAACAGATTGAGCCTGGGTACAGTAGATCAACTGAACTAAATTCAAGTTAGAAGAGCTTTTGATTAAGAGGTAAAGGACTTGTGGAGTGTGTGTGTGTGGGAAATCTCAAGTAGTTCTGATTAAAAATAGTAGGGAGTTATTCTCTTTGGGAGTAGGGGAGGAGAGAGACCTTGCACATAAAAGCACATGCTGTAAATCAGTGTCTAGTAAAGCAGTATATCTCTGGAATTAAAACCAGGGAACTGTGTGAAGTGCACAACAAAGCACACAGAGATTTCGTAGGGAAACATGCTGTATTCAATCACACTAACTATGGAATGGACTACATTTTCAGTGCAGGGAATCCACAGGGTACAAGAGGGGTTGGGGGAAATATAAAAAGACAGATAGTTAATAAAAGCCAGATTCAATAAAACTGTATCTGCCTTCTGCGGATGGAGAAATAGATTCTTTGCACAGCATTTAGGAGACTCTTCCATGGCAAGGAGAATGGAGTCTGGATGGATTTTATATTGAATGTAGATCTAAAATCAAAGATTTGGGGCAGCATTCTGTGCAGTATTGAATAGCACCTGCCTGTCCATTGTATCTATTCACTTTTCATTCTGTAGCTCCTATTGTGGCAACCAGATAATCTTTATGTAGGAGGATTCCTATAGGATGAGCATTCAAACTTTATGCAAATGAAATGCCCAGGATGGAGACTGGACAAAAGTCGCCACAACCCAGGGTGTGGAGCTGCATCGCATCTCCTCCTCTGCAGCTGCAGCAGCCGTAGGCTGTGGTACCTCCTTGCCACCTGGGCTAGATGTTATAGCCTCGAGAACTACATAATGGATCCAGGAGCCCCTCACCTGGCTTGCTGCCAACCTGCCTGTATAGTGCCACCTTCTGCATCAGCCTGTTTCTGTGGCCAGCACAGAGCCCCCCTCTATGGTGCATAGGGAGTGCAGAGAGCCTCTGCATGACCACTCTGGATCCAGGCTTCCAGCCCTGGTCTGTGTGGAAGTAAAAAGTTTAAGTGACGCAGAAGGGGCTCCCACGGGGCCTTATTCGTAGCTTATCGGTGCCAGTGGGAGCCTTTCCATTTATTTCAGTGGGCTTTGGATCAGGCCCTGGGTGAATTTCACCTCTGTTGGATAATTTCATTTTAGTTTCAGTATTTCAGTGGCTCATTCAGTTTAGTTGCTTAGTAACTAACTGGTGGATTATTCAGTTTAAATGGCTGTTTTCTCCTAGATTTCATTTCAGTTTCCAAGTTGAACATGTTAATTTCCAGGAGCAGCATTCTCTTCTGTTTCAGCTCCTAACTTTCCTTAGGAAGTGACCTCATATCTTTATTCAAACAGATTATTGCTTGGAGTGCCTGCAGCTGAATTACCTAGTGTTTGTATAATGTAAAGCTCCCACCACATGAGCATTTAATAACTCTATTATTTCCCTTTATTAGGTTTGTTTTTAAAGAACATTTCAGTCTGTTATTTATTATATGTTAAGTGGTACAGCTTGCAGAAAACACATCGCATTAATTTTATTTTTTTTAATTTGTTTTCCTGCTAAAATAGAAATCTTTTATTTGTCCTGGTGGGGCAGTTAAAGTTTCTTGCTGACAGTTTTATGATTTCAATAGCTCAGTAAAGACCTTCCTCTTTTTTTCACAGAAAGTTCCATTAAAAAGTTTAATGTGGACCATTCTTTATGTAAGATGGGTGTAGGAGCATGTTATTTCTAGCAGAGCAGAAGAGAAGTGTAATGTAGTATAAGTATAATATTGGGATGGTTCCATTTTATTTTTCTCTTTGATTTATGAAACCCTTTCCCAGTCTGGGTTACCTGGTGGGGAACTGATCTCATAATCTTTGTTCTCTCGTTAATAAATGTGGTCTGCCAGAGTCAGTCTGAGGCCAGGCTCGCCCAACAGTCTTGTAACATAAACGTGTGTCTAAGTTGTGATATACGAACAAGTAGGAATGGGTAAAATGGTGAAGCCTCTGGAAGAGGCTGCCTATCTCTTCTCCCCAGTAGGAATCCGAAAGCAGTACAATGAATGAATGTGCTGTAGGTATCAGACACAATTACTGTATAAATCTCACACAGACAGGGGAAGGAGAATAGAACTCTGCCCTCCAGCTCCAAAAACACAAGCCTTTACCACTAAAGCATGAGTCAAGATGCTGACAGTAGTAAGACCCCTATAATTTTCCTGGGCCAGCCACTAGACGGCGATGTCAGACTTTAACTTACACACACAAAGTGCATTACAGCTGGGCAGTATCAGAAATGCTCCCTGTCCTTCCTCATCTACTCATGGATCTTGCTGGCCTAGGAAAGTGTAATTACCCTGTGCTAGTTAGCCCTAATGAGTCTGGCCCAGTGCTTTTTCTTTAGCCCTTGTCAAGACAGTATACTGGACTAGATGGGCCATTCTGTTATGGTAGGGGAGTCACGATGTTTTTTGTTTTATAATTATTATCTTATTGTTTTCAATCAAACTTTTTCTTCCATTAGGTGGATTCAGTGTTGAAAGCAAACTGACAAGCTTCTGTGCTAGGGGAAGCCCCCCAAAATCCTAATATTTGAGGCTTCTTCTACTTTGTCTGAGCATCCCCGTAATACTAGACAGTCACTTGCTTGAACTGAATCTGATTCTGTACTCTCATCGGCCATCATTTAGGGTATATGTACATTGCTGACACAGAGCCTAGCTTTAGTCTAGCTAGCTTGGGTGCTGGAGCAGTGGAACTGGGGCTGTATGGGCTTCCATATGAGCTATACAAGTCATCCCAGGGTCTTGGGTAACTAGCAGCTTCACTGCTCCAGGACCCAAGCTATCTAGATTAAAGCTAGCTTGGGTGTGTCTACCCAAGCTGCAATCAGCCCCAGTGTAGACATACCTTTAGAGAGTTATAAGCACATCTTCACACTTCTATATTCCATGATGTTTTTCAGCGTGTCTGGAGGCGAGCTTTTCGACCGCATAGTAGAGAAAGGGTTTTACACCGAGAAGGATGCAAGCACTCTGATACGGCAGGTCCTGGATGCTGTCTACTACCTGCACAGAATGGGCATTGTGCATCGAGATCTCAAGGTAAGGCCACTTACTTATTTGTATCTCCACATAGTATTAATGAGTGTGGGCCCAATTACCACAAAGCCTAACTCTCACTCTTCAGGACTACTGTGGGACTACCCATTTGAGTAGAGATTCATCCTTTGAATGAGGCTTTGTATAATCAATACCGTCGCCTATCTGAACAGCTGTCCTGTGTTTTATCTAGAGTAGTGATTCTTTATCTTGTCTCATGAAGGGCCTTATCCTGCCACCTTCACCAACATTAGTGGTGAGTGGGATTACAGCAAATCTATCCTCTGGGAAAATGACATCCGTTACATTAAGAATGTGAGCTCTTCTGGGCAGACGCATGTGTTTTTACTGCTGAAAAGTGCCTTGCAAGTTTACAGTGCTACATTAAATACTACATACTACTTATGATGAGGGATTTGTGACGGAATCCCTGGGTTACAACCTGGAATTATGGGACCGCTGTGCCCCCTTAACTCTCCGGCCTGGGCTGTCTCTCGCAATTCTTTGCTAGTGACAAGCAAAAAACCCCTCCAGGCATTGTTATCACTCAGCATAACAGCATGTGGAGCCCCACACCCAGCTAGATTGCATGAATGGTCCCTAAGCCACTCATGAATCACACAGAGAAAGGCACAAGCCCATTCCCCCCAGCTCTCCAGCTGTGCATCCCAAAGCTGTACCATCTTGTCCTGGTCAGAAGCCTGACCAGTGTAAGTTTGTTAGACAATCTGCCCCTCTGTCAGGAGAGGACATACGGAAGCCTTTGTAAATTAAGCTGAGATTTCTCAAGCACTTCAAGTAAAACACACTGTTTTAGGTAAAATACAAAACATATTAGCTACAGAAAGATAGATTTTAAGTGATTATAAGTGGTAGGCATAAAGGGTCAGAGATAGTTACCAAAGAAAGTAAAAGGTAAGCGCACAGTCTAAATCTTAAACCTTATTACATTAGGTAGTATTTAGATCAAGCAGTTTTCTCACCACACTGGATGTTACAATTCTTAATATACAAGCTTCTCTCTCAAGCCTGGGACCAGTCTCCTCAATTGAAGTCTTTGTCTTTCCAGCATTCTTGATGCTTCTAGCATAGGTGGAGGAGGAGAAAGGCCCAGGCATGATGCCACTGCCCTTATTTTATACCCTCAATCCATGTGACTGGAAAATATTAGCCCAGACATGTTCTGGTGGGCCTTGCTGAGTTACAGGATTAAGCAATTCCCCCTGGTGTGGTCTTGTGCAACTGCCATTGAATTGTAAATCCCTTGATTACAACTCCACTGCTGATTAATGATTGTTGAACACCCTCCTGGGAGTGGTTTGCCTCCTTTGTATGTCACTAGCAAACTTACCACATATTTCAGTAACAACCATACAGCAAAATCCCATAACTTGATACACACAAATGATATACAGATTTGGACAGGACAATGGGTTTCAGCAGATCATGACCTTTCATATTATATCTTACATGGCAAGCTTTGTGTGCAATATATCATAATTATATGACAGGGATGAATATGGGGGTTCCAGGGTACTGCTTTTATGTACAGAGTGTCACAAGATTAATTGTTTGGAAAATGTTTACCAATTCCCTATCAATCCCGCTTTAGGGTCATTCCATTTGAGCCAATGTTTTTGTAAGTGCTTTCTGCACAAGTGATTCTTTTCTGAAGAACACAGTGTAATTGTATGATTTTGAGATTAGTCTTTGTTCCTCGCTGTACCCGTGTGTTATTAGAGCAGAATCTCTCATCCCTTCTATTCAAATAATAGCATTATTTCTTCGTGCTTTTCTCCTTCCATTTTGAATGCTGCCATTGAGATGATAAGCAGATATTTCTTTGTAAAGATTTAATGGTGTGCATAGCTAGAGAAAACCAGTACATTTAAGATTTGGGTACCCTGAACAATACAGTAGCAGAAGGCATATTTTTTAATAAAAGACAATAACTGAATATATATACTCAGCATTGGGGTCACAAATTTATCACTTAGTGTAGGATAAAAGTGAAAGAGCAAACTAATGTAGCTTTTAACAAAATACAGACTTATAAGAGAGAAAGGATGGTCTTGTGGTTAAAGCACTGACCTGAACTAAACTGCAATTTAAGTTCAATTCCTGCCACTAGCTTAGTTTCCCTGGGTCAATTGCTTAGTCTTTCCAGCCTCAGTTCCCCATCTTTAATATGGGGATAAGAATTCCTTGTCTTCCAGGATTATTGTGAGGATAAGTTTAATTAACATTTGAAGCACCTAGTGACTCTGGTGATGGGAGCTATCTAAATACTTGGTTAGGCGGAGGTCAGAGATGGAAAATGCTTCTCCATTTTGAGATAGGATTCACTTTTCCTCTTAGGGTATAGGACCTGTACTCTTTTACAGAGGCCAGTGGATTTCTTGGCTATCAGAAGACTGAGGAAAAGTGGTCTCAGCCAAGCAATCTGTTGTCAATGACTTGGTGGGACTTTATAACCATCTCTTGTCCCTCAGCTGTTGATATTCTGGCCTATTCCTCTACGTTGTCCTCCCAGGTCACAAAAGGGGAATCCAACCCAAAGAGAAGCCAGGCAGCATCACACTCTGGTGGTAAGAGAGTCATGACTGAAGCTTCATGTTTTCCATGGGTGGTTTCATTTTTTATTCCAGTCTTACAAAAGCAACTTGCTGCTTCAAATCTTTGTTGAGCAGATGGTAAGGACTGTACTGTGCCTCTCATTGCTTTGTTCATCTGTTCATTGGTTCTGCTTCTGGACCGTTACATGTTGGTAAAGTTTTAGAGCTTGTCTACACATAAACAGCCACAGTGAATACTCCACCTACGCCAATGAGAGGAGTTCTCTCATTGGTCTAGGTACTCCACCTCCCCGATGGCGGTAGCTGGGGGGGGAATTCATCTGTTGCCCTATCACTGTATACAGGGGCGTTAGGTCAGTTTAACTGTGTTGGTCAGGGCTGTGGATTTTTCACACCCTGGAGCAACGTAGTTCTACTGACCTAATTTCCTAGTGTAGACCAGGCCTTACAGTTTTGCTGTAATTCCCAAGTTTGTACCAGGATATTATACTTCTCCACACCACCCTGTTAACATGCCTGTGACAGGCCAGTCTGCCCCTTTAAGGGCCAGAGAACTGGGGAACAGCCAGCCCTGTTCTGGAGAGGAGACCAGCAGGAAGTTGGTGGGAATCATCCAACCCAGTTGGACAGAATCTAAATGATAGCAGCTGGTGATTCCCAGCTACAGGATGTAAAGATGAGCCCAACTCCATCAGGGAACCTGGGCCCAGCAGAGGGTTGGCAGTGCACGCCGTTGTGGCTGCCGCAGAAGGCTGCAAGAGGGCAAGCAGGTCCTGTGGACTCCTAGGCTGGGGAAGTTCCTGACGCTTACGCTGATGGAGGCCAGAGGATCCCACAATCAAGATTGGGATTGGGACTTTTACTTTTCAACATCAATAATTAACTATTGCTATTATAATCATTATTCTTAGAGCACCACTTAACAGATAGGAAAGGCAGATCTCTACCCTAAGAGATTCTGATTTAAATAACACAGCAAAGAATGACAATAAACAAAGGGTGGAGACAGTGGTTAGAAAAATGAAAGGTCCTGAGAGATTCTGATGGGTACAGACTCATCTTGTTAGCACCCTTTTTAATTAATCAGTTAATACCAGGGCTGTCAAGCGATTAAAAAAATTAATCGTGATTAATCGCACGATTAAAAAAATTAATCAGACAAACACGTTTGTTTACTTTTGCAGGAGATAATGCTGCCTGCTTCTTATTTACAATGTCATCTGAAAGTGAGAACAGGTGTTCTCATGGCACTGTTGTAGCTGGCATCGCAAGATATTTGCGTGCCAGATGCACTAAAAATTCATATGTCCCTTCATTTTTCAACCACCATTCTAGGGGCCACACATCCATGCTGATGACGATAACCATCCAAAGCAGCTTTCTTTTTTGGTGGTTTGGATTCTGTAGTTTCCGCATCAGAGTGTTGCTTTTTTAAGACTTCTGAGAGCATGCTCCACATCTCATGCCTCTCAGATTTTGGAGGGCACTTCAGATTCTTAAATCTTGGGTCAAGTGCTGTAGCTATCTTTAGAAATCTCACATTGGTACCTTCTTTGCTTTTTGTCAAATCTGCAGTGAAAGTGTTCTTAAAATGAACAACATGTGCTGACTCATCATCCAAAACTGCTATAACATGAAATATATGGCAGAGCAGGGGACATACAATTCTCCCCCAAGGAGTTCAATCAGAAATTTAATGAATGCATTTTTTTAATGAGCGTCATCAGCATGGAAACATGTTTTTTGGAATGGTGGCCAAAGCATGAAGAGGCATACGAATGTTTAGCATATCTGGCACATAAATACCTTGCAATGCCGGCTACAAAAGTGCCATGCAAATGCCTGTTCTCACTTCCTGGTGACTTTCTGTAAATAAGAAGAGTGCAGCATTATTTCCTGTAAATGTAAACAAACTTGTTTGTCTTAGCGATTGGCTGAACAAGAAGTAGGACTGAGTGGACTTTTAGGCTCTGAAGTTTTACATTGTTTTGTTTTTGAGTGCAGTTATGTAACAAAAAAAAATTCTACATTTGTAAGTTGCACTTGCATGAGAAAGAGATTGCACTACAGTACTTGTATGAGGTGAATTAAAAAATACTGTTTCTTTTGTTTATCATTTTTACAGTGCAAATATTTGTAATAAAAAATAATATACACTTTGATTTCAATTACAACACAGAATACAATATATATGAAACTGTAGAAAAGCATCCAAAATATTTAATAAATTTCATTTGGTATTCTATTGTTTAACAGTGCGATTAAAAATGTGATTAATCGTGGTTAATTTTTTTGAGTTAATTGTGTGAGTTAACTGCGATTAATCGACTGCCCTAGTTAATACATTCAAATATAGAGCCATTTTGATCTCTATTCTATAAGACTGTACTGACTTCCTTACACTGGTGTGCTTCTGACAGGTATGAG